AGATGATATCCAAGAACAGCATAAAGGACCAACTGTTTAAATTAAAAAAATTGAACAAAGTTAACAACATTAACAACAACATCAACAACAACAACAATGCTGACTTTAACAACGCTGGCATTAACATCGACGACACCAACAACGATAATGGCTCTGATTACACTAACAAAAACCGCATCAGGATAAACAGCAACAACAACAACAACAACAACAACAACATCAACAATCTCAATAAAAACAACAGCATCATTAACGACAACAACAATGGAAACACCAAAAACTACATTATATTGGATGGCAGCAATCTAAATAACGACAACCACAACAACAACGAAAACAACAACAACAACAATCTCAATAAAAACAACAGCATCATTAACGACAACAACAATGGAAACACCAAAAACTACATTATATTGGATGGCAGCAATCTAAATAACGACAACCACAACAACAACGAAAACAACAACAACAACAATCTCAATAAAAACAACAGCATCATTAACGACAACAACAATGGAAACACCAAAAACTACATTATATTGGATGGCAGCAATCTAAATAACGACAACCACAACAACAACGAAAACAACAACAACAACAATCTCAATAAAAACAACAGCATCATTAACGACAACAACAATGGAAACACCAAAAACTACATTATATTGGATGGCAGCAATCTAAATAACGACAACCACAACAACAACGAAAACAACAACAACAACCACAACAACTACAACTACAAATACATTGACAGCCATAGTGTGTTGTTATCGTCAGCTGATGCATAACTCTTAGCGGTGCTTCAACAGCTATAATAACAATTATAATATAATAAGAATAATAATAATAATTGAAAAATAACATTGATAACAATAAAGACAGTAATAATAATAATATTAATATTAATAATATTAATAATATTAATTAATAATTATAATTAATAATATTAATAATAATAAGAAGAAGAAGAAAAGAAGAAGAAGAAAAAGAAGAAGATAATAATAATAATAATAAGAAGAAGAAGAAGAAGAAGAAGAAGAAGAAAAAAAAAAGAAGAAGAAGAAAAGAAGACTCACAAACACACACAAACACACACACCACACACACACACACACACACACACAGATAAACACCACACACACACACACACACATACACATGTGTATAAATACAATAATAATGCCTTTTAATTGTACAAACTCGCCGATAAACTTTAAAAATTAATTGATTAATTTTGATTGATTAATTAATTGATTAATTTTGATTGATTAATTAATTGATTAATATTTAAACATAGGATGCGCGCGTATTGGTCTTCTTTCTTCATTTTATATCACACTTTAATGCTATCAATACTTTTAACAACGTTAAACTATTTTTTTCCATTTTATTCATTTTTGCTGTTTTAACATTTTTTTTTGACGAAAGCACTGGTAAACTATCTCCAGTGATGTTAATAACATTGGAATAATTACTATTCAAAAAATTTTGGATGCTTATAAAGTTTTATAAAGTTAATACAATTTTTCAAAAATGTAAAAATTTTTGTTTTTTTTCTCTTCATTTTTATTGAAAATAAAATAATTCAAAATATAATTAATTAGAGTAGCCACACAGACGGTAGGCTAGATAGGACGCCAGTAGCAAAGGTAGTAACTACAGTAACATCAGTAACTAAACTAATCCTATTACTTTTAGAATTCAAGTGCTATTTGCTACTACTACTACAACTTCTCTCTTTCTCTCTCTCTTTCTCTCTCTCTTTCTCTCTTTTTTTCTCCCTCTCTTTCTCTCTCTCTTCTTTTCTTCTCTTTTTTCCTCTTTCTTTTCTTTTTCTCTTACCTTGTTTTCTTTCTTTCTCTCTCTCTTTCTCTCTCTTTTTATGATTACCTCATTCAAATCTACCATCACCTCACATCTCATGTTATCTTAGATGGTATCATGTTAGTATCATGATGGTATCATCGTGGTATCATGTGGTATCATGATGGTATCATGTTTGTATCATTGTGGTATCATTGTGGTATCATTGTGGTATCATTGTGGTATCATTGTGGTACCATGGTGGTATCATGGTGGTATCATGATGGTATCATGGTGGTATCATGACGGTATCATGATGGTATCATGATGGTATCATGATGGTATCATGATGGTATCATTGTGGTATTATGTTGGTACCATGATGGTATCATGTTTGTATTATTGTGGTATCCCGGTGGTATTATGGTAGTATCATGGTGGTATCAAAGTGGTATCAAAGTGGTATCATTGTAGTATCATGATGGTATCAAAGTGGTTGGTAGTGGTTAAAACTTTATAAGCATCCAAAATTTAAGTAACAAAATTTGGTAACAGCATTAAATAGTAATTTATAGCAATTTATATGATGGTATCATGGTGGTATCATAGCGGTATTACGGTTGTATCATGATAGCATGGTATCTCGAGTAATGTTGCAGCCGCTCTCAGTTGGCCATTGTTTCGCCAGCTAGCCTCTGCTTGCTATAGTCATTCTATTGTTAAGCACGAATCGGAAATTCTTACTGAATAATAATGATAATTATTATTATTATAATAATTATAATAATAATAATAGTACAAATAATATTAAGAGGAAAAATAAGAATAATAAGAATAGCAGTATAAATAATAAAAATAGAAATAGCAAGAAGTATACAGATGCAATTTATATCCAAAGCATCAGTAACATCAACAACATCAACAACAACAACAACAACAACAACAACAATAACAACAACAACAAAAATAACAATAACAATAGTAACATTAATCATAAGAAATCATAAGATGAAGTAAAATAAGAAGAAGGCAATATTATTCACGAATCGTGCAATGTTAAATATAATATTAATAATAGTAGTTGAGTAGAGTTTAGTAACAAAGCAATATTACATGTACATTTTTCCGTGCAACATTGTTAAGCTGAGTTTCTCAATTGAAAAAGGAAGATTGCAGCTGTATGAGTCTATATGTATGTGTGTGTATGTGTATTTGTATGTGTGTATTTGTATGTGTGTGTGTGTTTGTGTGTGTGTGTGTGTGTGTATGAATCATGTATGTACTTATCTATTAGCTTGTGGCTCAGTGTAGGCAAGTTAATGTTGTAACTTTTAAATCTCCAATTACAACTTTGAAAGTAAGGTATTTCCGTAATATTTCGAAAGAAAATATCGAGACTTTGTTTTATTGATATGTTTCTTTTATAAAATGGGCAAATTTTTCATTATATACAAATTTTTTTCTATCTAAAATTAGAAAAACTTGATCATTTGTTGTAAAACCATGCTAAAATGTGAGTTTATCGAGTTTTGTTTTTAATTATTGTCTCAAAAAACAATTTTTTCATCGTCTAGTCATCAATTTTTTGTTTCTCATCATTTACATTAAACTGGGCATAACTTTTATTCTATTTATTTATTTATTATTTGTTTTATATATTTTATTTCATTAGCATAGATTTTATACAACTTTTCAGGTTTCATATTTATTATTCTGCTGAAGTCATTGGCGTCAGCGGTTTTTTTCAATTATTCAGCAACAGGGAAATCATTAGAAGATGCTAGAACCGATTGTCGAAACAGAAATTTAGGTCTATTGGAAATAACATCCGAAGCAACCCAAAGAGAATTTGAAAAATTTGTTCCTCAGTTTGATAGCTTAAAAACCTCCTGGCTGTGGTTGAATGTTTACGTTGAGAATAACAAATTTTTTTGGAAAGATGGTGATAGCTTCGTTCCAATAACCTATCAAAACTGGGCTTTGGGGTATCCAGATCTTCAAACGACAATTCGATCAGTTGTGATCAGCTGCAGTTTTGAGTCAGCCTCAAATGCGACCAGCTGCCTGTGGCGGTCGTCAACGGCCGATTCTTCCCTTCTGCGTTATGTCTGCTATGGTTTTCGGACAGGTAAAAAAGTTGACATAATTTAAAAAAAAAAATTTCGAGTGTATGTATTAAAATGATTATTTATTAAATATTCTTTTTTCTTATTCATTAATATTTCCACTATAAAAATCAATAATTCAATATTTCAATTAAATTACTAAAACTATTCAAATAAAAAAATTTATTTTACTAACTCAGATGAGGTAGGCAACGCTGGCGACAGCAGCAGCAACAGTGGCAACGGCAGTGGCGGCAAACCGTCCCCACCATCTTCCGTGGGTCTGGCGGTTGGCATCTCATTAGGAGTTCTCGTTCTCGCAGCCATCATCATAGCTGTAGTCGTCATATTTCAGAAGAAGACAAAGTAAAAAATTAATTATCTCCATCATTTATAACGTTGGCGAGTGTTGTCAAGTTGTGGGTTCTCAAATTAGGTTTTTCCTGGTTCTCCTGTTGTGTAATGACCGGTTTTGAATGCAAGATGATCTCCGAATATTCGATAATATTAGATGTATTGTGTGTGTGTGGGCTTTGTGGTTATTACAGGCGTATTTGGGCTGTGTGTGTATGTTTGTTTGTGTGTTTGCGTGTGTTTGTGTGTGTTTGTGTATGTCTGTATATTTGTGTGTGTGGTTGTTGTTGATGACATCACTGAAGCTTGTAGTGCAGTTAGAGGGATTGACCTAAAAACCTTCTAGTCATAAATTTGAAATTTTCAAGCGATGCATATGCATTATATTAAATTTAATCACAAAAATTTATATATTTTTTAAAAATGTGTTGATAATTGTTAGATTCTTGATTTTTTAACATTTCTATGTAAATTTTTATTTAAATTTATGATTTTCTTGCTGTTGTTTTCTTCACCGATGAGTTAAAATGAACTTTTTCCCCAAGATCCCGCATGCCGTCAATTAGAAGACTTCCATCAGTTCAACAGCAGCAATATGACGAAGGCTACGTTAATAACAATAACAACAACAATGACGTCCTCTACAGCACCACCATCAGCAACTACAACAACAATAACAGAAATTACATCAGCACATTAAGTAACGCTGGAATTAATTTTGACGACATCAACCGCGAACCTGATTATGACAATAACAGAAATGTAATTTATAACTATGGCATTAACCATGAAGAAACAAACAAGAACAACAACATCTCCATGAATAACGTTAAAAGCAATAGTGAATACGAAGAGATTAATGCTATTGCGATTAACGACAACATCAACAACAACGACAACATCAACGACAACATCAACACTAATAACCACAACAACGTGAATCGAGCTTATACACAAGTCACTATTCATGATGCCAATCATGTTTATGACCGTTTGAGTAACGTACAAAACAACAACAACAACATCAACAACAACAACAACAATGACAACAGCTACTACAACATGAACAAAGATAACATTGATTACTACAACGTTAAGAACAACAACAACAACATCGCCAAAGTTAACGATTCGCAAGTTGAATACAGCAGAGTAATCAAAGAACTTCAAAAAAATAATTAAAAACAAACCTTCAGGCACTCATTTTAAAACTTTTTAACAATCAAATTATTATTTTAAAAATATTTTTTGGGAAAGTTGTTTGTAAGGGTTAAGTAGTGACCAAGGTTAGTGACCAAGATGTAAACCAAGGTTTTATCCAATTTTCTGACAATTAATTTTCATTATTTTTTGTCTGATTTTGCAATTCAAATGAGTTTAAATCGAATAAATATTTTGTGAAATATTCAAAATGACTTTTTGCGTTTTGGTAACAACATAAAAATGACAAAAAACTCAACTTAAAATTAAAAATTTAATTTGAGTATTAAACAAACCTTCAAATTTGTTACCTTAAATTTGTTACCAGCTATGAATCAGGACAGATTGGCTTAGCAGGGCACATTGTAATGAGTTATAACGAATAGAACTATCCTTCATTACATTAATTAAGTTCGTTGACTAATTTAAATACGTAATACATTGTCATCGGGAATGAGTGGATGAGAACACAAAAGTTCAGGTTAATCGAGCATCGGGGAGTATTCGATAAATTCATTACAAAATCTTTTAACAAACAAACAAACGAACGAACGAACGAACGAACGAACGAACGAACGAACAAACGATTAAACAACCAGTCAGTCTGACAATCAATCAATCAACTAGCCAACCAGCCAAACAACCAACCAATCAACCAACTAAACTACTAACCAATCAACCAACCAACCAATCAACCAACCAATCAACCAACCAACCAAACAACCAATCAACCAAACAACTAACCAATCAACCAGCCAGCCAACGAACCAATCAATGTAGATATTACAATCAATGAAAAATAATAAATTTTTAAAATTTGAAATTAAATTTAAAATTAAATTTTAAAATGAAAAATAATATAAAATATTGACATTTTGACTATTCAATATTCATGTCTTTCATGAATATATATTAAAGATCGGACTATTTGATTTCCTTGGAATTTCGGTAGTTTTTCAGGTTACACACAAAATTACATACTATAACTGCCTAATGTAACATAATGCATTTAGAGAGTTAAAACTTTGAAAAAATTTTGTCATAGAACATAAATTTTTTTAGTTATATTTAATTGACACAGATTGAAACATTTGAATTTTTAGTCAAAGAAACATTTAAATTTGGTCGAGTATTTTGATTTTCTCACAAAAATTGAAAAACTAATTTTGGGTAGGTAATTTTCATTTGAATACTCTACTCCAACAATTATCGAGTTTCATTTTTGAGTATCAAATAAACCTTTCATAAAAATTGATCTTAAATAGTGTTTTTTCGATAAATGGTAAAATTAGAAAAAATGTTGTTTGTATGATTTGTTTGATGTGTATATATATATATATATATATATATATATATATATATATATATATATATATATATATATATAAATCTATATATAGTGTTTGTGTTGTTGGTATCTTTAAGATATACTAAAAAGATATTTGTAATAAATAAACAAATAAACAATGTATCAATGATATATATTCCCAGTATATCAGTGATAGACATCTTCTAACTAAACAATTGATTAGTATAGGTAGGTTGTACTATTCATCTTCTGTTCAACTGAACTAGGAAGTTATTTTACGTTCATGTGTGATGTTATAATTATGACTATTGCTTATAATTTTAAACATAAAACTATATTTTTAAGATTATTTGGTTTTAATTTGTGATAATAAACTTTTAATTGTATATTTTTGTTAAAATTTTATTTACTGTTTGAGTTGTGTTTCTAAATAATTGATGATTTTGTGATATTTGAAGAAAAAATGCTGAAATGTAAAAATAATTCTACAATAACTTTTTTTACAAACATCATGCTTACTATCGAACATTATGATTATTCTTCGATTTTTTCAGATATAATTTGTTGATTACATATTTACAAGAACCAACTCTTGCCCAATTTTACAAATTAATTTTTTATTTTTCAGATATAATTTACAGCTTTTTGCTTGCCACTCTAACAGATTCATCATGCTTGTTACCTGGAAATTGCAGATTTGAAGTTTCTGATAAATCTGGCAAAAGTTTCGAAAATGCAAGAAAAGACTGCACCAGACAGAAAATGAAACTTCTGGAGATCAAAGATGCATTCACACAATCAGAAGTTGAACGTTTCATGGCAACAAATCCGGATTTAAAAGGTTTCTACCTATGGCTGAATATCCAGGTTGTAAATGGCTCTTTATATTGGGAGCCGATGGAGCCAGTTGGGTTCACTAAATGGCCATCCGGAGAACCACAACCAATTAATTTCAAAGCTGTACTTATAAGCTGTACAACCGCTGTTGTTGAAGCAGCTGTAGGAGCAGTGTTACATACAACGGAATGCTTTTGGATGGTTCAGTATTCACTGGAAGAAAACCATCCTTACTTGTGCTACGAAGATTTAACAGGTCGGTGTTCTGAGTAATTAATTAACTAATTAATTAATTAAGTTCCTCGTAATTAGGCGCTTTCTGGTGGCGTAGTGGAGTAGTGTCTCTCTTCTATGTTGGTGTCACTAGGTTCGAATGCACTTTTAGCAGTGATTTTTGCAGGGTTTATCTCAGTTTCATCCATTACTGGAATCAACAAAGACTAAACGCATTTTTTGAAACAGAATAATGAAAAAAAATCATCTTAATTTAAAATTTATTTTAAAACACTGGAAAATATTTTGATTTATTTAGCAGTTTCTCCCGACATGTTCAACAACATAGACGGCAAAAACTTCAACCCATTCAATAATCTAAACATCAACAAAAACAATCAAGTCATCAGTACAGACAAAAGCATCATCATGAAAAACAAAATTGACGTCACCAGAACAGAGAATAATATTAATATCGAAAACACTAACTACCAACTACCACTACCTGCCAACCCAGGTTCCTCCTTCTCACCATCAAACATTGGCTTTGCAGTTGGCGTTTCTTTATCTTTGGCCTTCCTAGTCATCGTCATATCTGTCGCCGTCGTTGTATTTTATAGAAGAAAAAGGTAGTCAAACTTTAAAAAATTTTAAATGTTGTTGAAATATGCGGAAAATAGTTGGCATAAGAAGAATGAGTTGTTGTTTTCAATGATTTTAACAATTATTTAATACATTTTACATATAAAATTTTTTTAATTCACCACACAGACGCAAGAATTTGCAAAACAATACAACGCCACGACAACTACCCCCACCGCCACAACAACAACAACAAGAATACGACAATGGCTACGCTAGAGTTGTTCAATTAGGCAGCAACAACACTACCATTTCTAACAACAACAACAACGTCAATTTAAATTATGTTGATCTAAGTTACGCCAACAACAACAACGACAATGACAAAGTCCATTATGACAACAACATGCACAACATTAACAATTACAACAACAACAGCAACAACACTTATACAACAATAATAGTGGATATGATGAACTCAACTCAATTCGATTAAACAACGACACCAACAACACTGATAACGGCTACGACTTTCTGAATAACTCTCAAGACTACAGCAACAACACCAACAACCATACCAATGCAACTGCCTACTATAACATCAACAACAAATAACATTAGCAATTACTAATGACATTATTTGTAATGTAATTTCAGAGATCAGCCAAACTTATGAATGTAACTGAAATGCAAAGATAACAACAACACCAACCAACAATTTATATGAAAAAGAATTTAACATAGAAATGACTTAAAGATAAACAACATATTTTACTGTTTTTTACAAAAAAAAAAACAAAGCTTTATATAATTCTTAACATTCACGTGTTTATAATTAATTATAAATAAAAACTTTTATAAAATCATTTTCATGAAACATTTTTACCAAACGCGGTACTTTATGAATAAAAATTGAAACAGTTTACGAGAAGTCATCTAATATATTTTTAATTCATATCTTCCTCTTTTGCTTTCTCAATCTCTCTCTTGATTCTCTCTCTCTCTCCCTCTCTCTCTCTCTCTTTCTCTCTCTCTCTCTCTCTCTCTGTCACTCACTCTTTCTCTCTCTTTCTCTTTCTTTCTTTTCCTTCGAAGCGTTTCAATTTGAAACATGTTTAAGCTTTTGGGATATTTATTTGATGAAAAAGACCCAAAGCTAATGTTAATATGAACAATATATAACATAAACATAATACAATACAATCAACATTCTTAGTCGTGAATTATGATAAAAAAAATGTAAAATTTAAAATTATTCAATAAAAATTAGTGAAATAGTTGAAAGAGTAAAAAAAATTGACAAAAATGTAGCAAGCCGCGTTTAAAAGATAACTTAACAGCCAACAATGACTCGAGCAACGAGCTGATCACAAGCTTTGCTGTTCTAGCATGTCACTAGGAAGTTAACTCTAATAATGTTAGCTGCATTTTAGCTAGTTAGCTTTCATCGTGTTCAACTTCTCATTTCTTTATCACTCTCTCTCTTTTTATGATTGTGTTTTTTATTCTTCTTGTTATATATATATATATAACAAGTAACAAATAATATATATATATATATATTATATATAAATCAAATTTAGCCTCTCTCTCTCTCTCTCTCTTTCTTTCTCTCTCTCTCTCTATATATATATATATATATATATTTATATATATATATATATACATACTAACC